ACTTTTTGTTTATGTTATATATATTCCTTATTGTAATAATCATAACTATAAATATAAACATATGAATAACACTGTAAAATGATTATAATAATTGCATAACTAATGTTTAATAAATTATTAATTGTCATGTTCATTATTATTAATATTGAAGATCTTCCCTAATAACAAATACATATATATTTAATTTTAAAAAATATAAAAAATTACGATTTAATTTAAAAGAAAGATTGAATTTCGATTCTTTTTTAAATTTTGAAATTTTGAAAATTTTCTCAATTATTATTTTCACTTATAACTACCCCTGATCCAATCTTCACAACTTTCATTTTATTTAGTTTATGTGTCAAGGTCTTAATGTTGCATTTTTTTTCTAAAATTGTTTAGTGTTTAAATTCAATTTTTTTTTTTTTTTTTTTTTTTTTTTTTGTAATTTTGAATTTAAAGTGAATCTCATGTTTTTGAAATTTCAATTTAATTAGTTTTTTTTCTTTTTTGTAATTATTTGGAAAAAAACAAAAAAAATAAAAGCAAACAATAAAAAAAAATTGGAAAATCGGTTTGGACCCGGACCCGACTCGGACCTGGCCCGGGGGGACCCGCCCTGGACCCGGAATATTTTGCATTTAAAATGTAATAATCGAGTATTGTGAATTGTGCATTGTTTGATAATAATTTGAGTTAATTTTTTTTCGTCGGTATGTTGTTGTTTACTTTGAAAATCAAGATTTCTTTGTATTACTAAAGTTGTTAAGGATTATGTAACTGATATTGAGTTAATTGCATAGACCCCCCTGTGTTATTTCTCGGAAGCAAAAAACCCCCTCGGAAAAAAAAATTAGCATATAACCCCATATGTTGTGTTTTAGTCAGCCCACCGCCCCTTTGTGTGCACTGACTCGTTGACTTACGCGAAATGACAGAATTGCCCTTAATAAAAAATAAAGCAAAAAAGACCTCAATACCCAAAATAATAAAATCCAAAACTCACAGCAAAAAAGACCTGAAGTCTGTAATTAATTTAATTAAATTTTATTACATAATTATTTTTAATTTTTTTATGTGTAGTTATTTTTAATTTTATACACATTAATAATTTTGTAATTATAAAAATAAAATATAAACAGAAATTAAATATATATAGTTGTATTAAAATATTTTATATGTTTTATATTATTCTTTTATTATATTTTAAGTTAAAAAAAAAGGAAAAGGAAGAAAAAGTAGTCTTCTTCCCCGATGCACCCCACCCACCACCCAACTCAACCCTTCTTCTCCCCACACCGCTGCCCAACCACCAGCTCACCCCAAAATGTCCCGCCGCAGCTGCTGCCACTTGTGGTGGCGGCGCCGCCACCATCAGCCCATGGTGGAGGCCACCGCCGAAGACCACGGTCGCCATGGACGGCGGCACGAATTCCTTCGCCATGGGGTTCAATTTCGAGAGCATTTCCTCCAAATCCCTCATCTCCCTCTTGAACCCCTCTCCTCCATCATCGCCGCCCCCGTTAACTTCCGTTTAATTTCCGTTTAATTTGCCCGGAAAACACTTGCCCCTTTCGAATCTACTTCGAACGCAAAGTTCTTGAAGAACTTCGAAGAAACCTCTGCTTCCAAGGATGACCGCCACTGAGGCCGCCGCCGCACGAAGATGAAGAAAACTCATTTTCTGGGCCTCCATTTTCTCCGTTCAATCTCACCGACCACGAGCCGCACACCTCCGCCGCGGCATGCCTCAATTGGAAGAAGATCTGAAAATGTAGTGGTGTTGGGGTGATGAGCAGCGGTGGCCTGAACGCTCCGACTTGGGTTGAATTCAGTTGTGAGTTGGATGGGTTGGGGGAGGGGGAGGCGGGGATGGAGGAAGGGGGGTGGGGATGGAGGAAGGGGAGTGGTTCAATTATTTGGGGAAGAAGACGATTTATTCTTTTTTTTTTTTCCTGTATTCTTTATATTTGTTTTGATAATTTTGATAATTACAATTTAGTCCTATAACTTTAGATTATTTATAATTAAATCAATCCTGGTTTTTTTCCTCTTACAAAGGGTTCTTATGTCTTTTCCTGTCCTAAAATGTCCTAAAACGCACGCCCAGCTGCATGAACCGCGAGTGTATCCCACGATTCGCTCGTAGGGTCCTTATTGTCATTGACTTCCTTTCATAGGGGGGTATTTGCTAATTGTTTTATCCGAGGGGTTTTTTTGCCAATTAGAGATTTCACAGGGGAGCCGAGTGCAAATACCCCAACTGATATTCTTTGTATTACTAAAGTTGTTAAGGATTATGTAACTGATAGTGGAACCGATGAGTCTGTTGATTTCTTTATAATTTTGAATACATCTCTGATTAAAAGATTGGGTAAAAATCATGTGGTCTGCATTTTGTGAAGTAATATATAGTTAAACTTGAGTTGATTCTGTTTAATTTCGAAGATAATAAAATAGTGAAGTCATTATATGACCGTTTAATTTGAAAGTTTGATTTATTCTGTGTTTTTTTTGCATTTTATGAACTGGATTGTCTTTATACATATATATATATATATATATACATATATATATATATATATATATATATATATATATATATATATATATATATATATATATATATATATATATATATATATATATATATATATATATATATATATATATATATATATATATATATATATATATATATATATATATATATATATATATATATATATATATATATATATATATATATATATATATATATATATATAAATATATAAATAAATAAATAAATTAAATATT